TAACACTATTCATAGGGTTATAACACTATCCATTATATGGTATTTTATAGCAATATCCATTATATGATGCTTTATAACACTATTCATAGGGTTATAACAGTAGCCATTATATGGTATTTTATAGCAATATCCTTTATATGATGCTATATAACACTATTCGTAGGGTTATAACACTAACCATTATACGATACTGTATCATATTATCCATAATACCATACCATCTCTTGTATGATACCGTATAGCACTATCCAATAATTAACACTATACAACACTACCTATAACATGATACTGTATAATACTTACATAGTAACTTCAATAACGTTGAAATGTTTGGGCACAACCACAATTGCTAGTGGAAAGTTACCGAGGAAACTATTGTTATGAACGAAACAGTCAAAACTAAGAAGTCTTCAAGTGAATTCGACTGAGAGGTTTTTTGTCAGTATCTTAAACCTTGTTTACATGCACCCCTTTGCCCCCGGGGGTAAAATATCCCATGGGGTATAAATACCCCCGAGAGGCACATTTTGTCGTATAAACGGGTCTAACAGGGGGGTAAATTATACCCCCAGGGGGGTGTTCTGCCCCTGGTCAAGAGGTGGAGCAAATTCAGTTACCCCCGGGGATATTCTACCCCTTGGGGGTAAAAGTGTCATGTAAACTATCTATGATCTAAATCCAACCAAGGGTACATTTGTAGACCCTTCCACCCTTTCTTATAATGGAATGGTTTTCCAGCAAATCTAGACATGTTGGTGTGTATGTTGTTGGTATGCACTACCCACCCTGTCATTAATCTGTAGCTCTACACTGGAAACAACATGCCTCCGATAAACAAGCGTTTACAGTGTGGTTAAGCCTGGACAGATGATGAGACAAAGGGTCTGCTTAGTATCTGCGGAGACATTCCCATCCAGTCCCTTCTGGACAGCCCCTCAAAAGCTGATACAGCTGTTTATTCAAAGGTGCACAAAGTAATGCATGAACTTGGCTTTGAGAAAACGGCTATACAATGCGCAGAACGAACGAAAACACTTAAAAATCCTATAGACAGTGTAGGGATTCACTTAAGAGGAGTAAGGTGAGGTGAAATTGGGTTTAACGTCGTGCTTGAGAATATTTCGCTCATATGACGACGTGCATGCGTGTGTGTGTGTGTGTGCGGTTGCTTGTACTAGTCCAGACTGAAGCTGGTTTTATAGTGCTAGCCCACTGAGATACCATGCCGCAGTGAAGCATGAATACCCCACTCAGACACATTATACTCCGAGCCGACCAGTCCTTGTTGTACCCATTAATGCCGAGCGCCAGGCAGGGATCAACAAGTACCAGATTTTAACGTCTTTTGGTATGACGCTGCCGGGGATCGAACCCGCGACATTCCGATCTCCAGGCAGACGCTCTAACTTAAGAGGAGTGGACAGACCTGAAAACTTTTATGCACATTTTATGAACAGCTAAATGAAATTTTGGATACAAGACCTGCGACATCACCTGGAAAGGTCATTCAAATGTAACAGCGGTATCACGTCATGATTTGAGAACAGACGAATACTTGTGAGGGTTCAGGGGATTTATTGTCTTGGATCAGGTGATAAAACCCTTGAAATAAAACATAAACATCTCAAATTACTGGTATACAGCAACAAGTACTTATTCAACATATAATTACATTTAATATTTTCTGCACACCACAAGGGTTACTCAATTAAAGTATAAATATAAGCTTATCTTACAAATTACAGACATACAGATGAAAATCTGATATGTAACATAACATTTAGAACATAACCCATGCATTTCCTTGACACACAAATACTAACCTCGTCTCAGGGACGCAGGTAATCCACAGTCTACCGGTAAACAACCGGTGGCAAATGAGTACTTCAAAGACCTAATATAATAAAATAACACAATTAAATACAATCTATATCTCTCTCTCACTCACACACACACACACACACACACACACACACACGCACACGCACACACATGCACACACATGCACACGCACACACATGCACACGCACACTCTTTCTCATGTCATCCATAATATGTACCTAATCTACAATGGATACACTATAGTCTACATTAATTATAATACATAACAGTGTGTCATGATATTAAGCATATAGAATATTTACATCATATCATCATGTAGATGATATTACAGCACATAATATATTTCAGACATATTATTAAAATGATAAATTAACTAGACTAAAACATCATATCCTAACCTCCTTATGATAATATAAATACCAAGACATCTAAAGTAACTTACCCCAATAAGTTCAGTGCTGTGATAAAGGAGACAGAGTTGGAATTGTTGCAGTCAAGAGTTGAAATTGTAGCAGTGCCCAGGAAAAAGAATGTTGGGGTACATAAAACTCCAGATCTGGTCACATGCTCTAGAAACAATAGCAAATCAATCACTGGCCAAGCCGTGGCTGGACCAGGAGTCTGAAGTAAAATAGAACCCAATGCAGGCTTACATAACTTAACCAAGGGATTAGTAGAGTGCTGTGTTAATTCAAAGGGTTGTTATATTGTTTAACTAAATTATATCCTAGGTTTAAAATACACAATATTTACATTCTGCACAAAGTCTCCAGCAGTCAGCTGCATCATAAACAGACATATCTGATCTTGAAGTTACTGATGATCATGTTACCGACAACATTGCTGATGATGTCGAACTTGCTGAGCCAGGAGATTATGAATATGTTAAAAATGGCCAACAAAATGGTCATATGAAAAGAAACAAAAAGGAAAACAAAGAAAACCCAAACTGCAAACAACTTTGAAAACTGTCAGTGACTAGTTTGCTAAACCTAATGAAGATATTGAAGCAACGCAGATTGAGTTGGAAAAGAAACAAATTGAGCTAGAAATGAGAAAAATGAGAAAATGCACTTAGGCAACTGGATAAAGGAGAAAGACAGAAAGCTTCTGACAGAGAACACCAATTGCGTATGCTACAGTTCATCATGAACACTCCTCAACCATATGCCAATCCATCATCCATCCAATCTCCAACATTCTTGTCCAGTGGTATCAACTTGACCTTGTGGTCCTTGGTCGCCATCATGTACTTCATCAACCTCATCCAGCCAGTCAGGGTTGAACATGTGGTCTGATTCACACATGTTATGCGCCTACATCTTCCTTTGAAGCGTCCAAATGTATTTCAATGACCATCCGGGCACTGCTGAAGCGGAAGTTGAAGTATGACTTCTCATCTGATTGGGTTCCTCCGTTGCCGTAAGGCGTTAAGAGCTAGTGAGACATATGACAGGCCGGATCTGCAGTGATGACGACAGGCATGTCACCATCATTGTTAGCAGTACCCACTCTTTTCTTCCACTCTGGGGACTGTGGTAACATGGGACACCATCTGCTGAAGCTTTGAATCCTGAACTAGAGAATGGAATCATGAACTCTACCTGGCCACCTGATGCACACATTTGTAAACTAGTACTTGCCATCACATACAGAGAGCAGGATCACTAATACCATCCTTTGAATCGTCGTGAAACTGTTGCGGAGCAATGATCGGGCTATGTGTTGCATCTGGCGCCAGCACAGTTAGGAAATTTCCATTTGTCCTGAAACCATGATTTGACTTTCCTTAGCTCCTCGCCTATAGGAAACTTCACAACATCTGGAAACACATGTGTACAAGTGGCATAACACACTTCATGTACTACACAACAAACTGTTGACCTGTGAATCCCAAACAGATAACCAACAATGCGATCTTCTACTGTTGTGGCCAAGTAGTATATTGCCACTGCTAATGTGAATGTGAAGATGGAACTTTTCACAGAGGCGCTGGAACATGTCCCTTGACATTCTGACGTTTTCCTGAGTTTCATCAAAACGTGGTACAGTTACTTCCCACCAATATCTACTCCTTTCCTTTTCCCAAACAAGGCGTTCTCTAGTGATGAGCCCACGCACAGAGTTTGGACGAATCTCTTCCGTTTTCTAGATTTGGACAAACGTCTATATTTATCCATGGTTATAGAGAAGTGACAAAAATATCAATACCCCCCACCATGTAAACGCAGGCACAATTTTGCCCTTTGACCCTGTGGGTAAATTTACCCCAGGGGCAAAATACCCATGGGGGTAAAAGGGGTGCATGTAAACAAGGCATTAGTTTCAAGAAAAATTACACAGCAACGTCCAAGGAATATAAAATAGTCACACCCTATATTTCACCATGAACCAATAAAGAACTGCACTTGGTCTTAGCTTCTGTATATACGTGTACACGCATTGTCTGTATAAACATCATAAATCACAACCCCGTAGACCCGGGTTTGATTCCCCACATGAATGCAATGTGTGAAGCCCATTTCTGATGTCACAAAGCTGTGATTTTGCTGGAATATTGCTAAAAGCGGCGTAGAACTAAACTCACTCAAATGGAATGGACACCAATACAGGCTCGGCTATCGACGTGCATACAGCCGGGGACCAATAGTCTTCATACACGTATCAGATCAAGCCTGTAGCACTCCTTGGTATAGAATAGGTCCCCACCAACCTGTGCTTGTGGTAAGAGGGGAGGATGGATTCTGTGGCCTGGATCGGCGATTAGGCTGATTGCGGGTCAGGGTACCGGCATGGGCTCGTATATAAATTATATCACTGGATTAAGGAAAACCAAGTTCTATGGATAGACAACTATGGATTAGACATTAAAGAAGTTGTCTATCCATAGAACTTGGTTTTCCTTCACCTATACAACTTCTAAAGTGCCTCTCAAAGAAATCACTGGATTGTCTGGTCCAGACTCAGTTAATTACAGACAACTGTCATATATCTGAAACATTGCAGAGTTCAGCCTCAAACAACAAACAAAGAAATAAACCTCTCTTCCCGTTTATCCCACCGTCCCGCACTCCGGGTAGAAAAAGCAGCTCGACCGTTCTCATTTCCTAGCTGTGATGTCCCCGCCGGCTCTCCGTACAGTCTATCCCGTATGCAAATCCCGTCAGTATTTTTAGCATCAGGTCACCTCTCTCTCTCGATCTCTCTCTCCTCCCTCCTGTAGACAGACTTGCAGTTATTGACTTGTGTTAGACAGGGAACCGGCCGGTTGGGCTTGGATGACGGAGGTTACGATGGCGACTCGACTGGAGGCACTTCTTGGAGAGCGAGTCATCAGGGTATCGGGCGAGCCCGTGGGTGTCAGGACGTTATGTGGAAAAGACAAAGTCATCGGATTTTATTTCTCAGCACAATGGTGCCCCCCTTGCAAAGGATTCACGCCAAAGCTTGCGGAATTTTATAAAAACTTCAAAAGCTCAGAGAAAGGATGTACCCTAGAAATTGTGTTTGTAAGTTGGGACAAGGATTTGACATGTTTCACGGAATATTTCTCGACCATGCCGTGGTTAGCCCTACCATATCAAGACCGGGACAGAAAGGTAGGTTACCCCACCCTCCACCCCTCTTTTCCCCCTCGATACCCGACTGTGCCATTCATCAAGTGCTAAGTGACATTCCTGGTCAGACTGTCAACTTACTGCTGTCTCCGACAGTCTGACAGCTGCCAGTCAAACTGTAGATGAGCCAAGACGCTCACAAATGGTTTGGTATTTTTACCGTTATGTTTTATGAGTTACATGCCAGATTCGCGTAGTAGATAGGCCGCATAATTTAGTTCACATTGGCGTTTTCAGGCCTGTTGCTTTCCATTCTCGTGTGTAAGGTCAACTTCGGAAAATTACGAGTTTTCTTGTAGTTGTTAAGTGGAACTTACAAACTGATTCGAAGAACATTGGTTAAAGTTTAAGTTGGTAGAAGAACTCCCCGTCTCGGTCAGGTCATCTCGCCCCAGTCCACACTCGTTTATTTATCATGGACGGAATCAATTTTGCTAACGGTCTCACGTTTCTACAAGAATAAATATACTAGCTTTCTCATTATCTTATACGCCATGATAAACCTGAGACGAGTGTACAAGTTTCGATAGCGTGGGAAACAGGGTGAGATTTTCGATTTGGTTCAATTACTCAAGTTGTGCCATTGTTTGTGTGGGAATGGAATGTCAACAATTCGGGCTTTGTTGTTTAAAATCCATCTTTACATCTGACCGTAGGTAAACATTTTCTACGGAAGTTATCGCAATATCGACATGAGGGGGCAGTAAAGCACGTGTATGTGTGAACTAACTTCAGCGTTGTCACGCGTGTGTGCGAGAGATTAGAGGGTGCGTGACGGTGTCGGGGCGCGAGCTATGGTGTGATGGTACACTTTCCCTGTGTATATACCAAACTGACAGATTATCGCCTGTGTAAGCTCCTGACACGATGAAGTGATACATATCGGAGTCAAGCTTGGCATTTCCAGCATGCAGTGCTATCAGAAAGAGGTGTCGGGAGTTCTTAGCGGAGACACGCTCAGATCCTCAACACGTTTTTCACCTGCGTCAGTGTTTCTTTGTTCTACGTGCGTGCACTATTGTGTCATACGACACGGCCCACGTTGAAGGCTGTCTGCAACTAGCGGCGTCACCTCGACGACACATACCATTATTAACTTCGTTGTCGTAGAAGCTGCAATATTTTACAGGCTGAATATTTATATTTTGTCACAAGAAGATAATGGCTGGGATTTGATCTTCTCACGTGAAAAGAGAACAGAGAAATCGATAAATTTAACACATGCCCTGAAGAAATCAATTCATTATGGGAGCACAGGTGTGCTTTGATGCTACAGAAAGACTGACAGAATGGATGAATAAAACTTTTGGGACAAACACACACACACTTTCTCTGATCTGTTTGGCACGAGTTTAAACTGTATTTAATTAATTTCAATTAAAATCTATTTGCATGTCCATTCTGTTATCCTATGTGTCAGCAGAATGAAGAGATATAGGTACGGTTCATAAGTTTTTGGAAATAAAAACTTACAACTGTAAAGTATATGTTGTTAACTGTAACAACTTTAATCCCTTAATGTCAAATGAAATGTTCAGAATATTTAGCCACAATAAATAAATTTTCATTTTTTCTTGCCTTCCGTTAAAGATATGAATATCATGAAATGAATGTTTATCTCATATTCAATAATGGGATGCAAATTCTCTATGGAAGGTGAAATTGGTAAATTGAATAAATTTGCTCTTAAAAAGAATTGATGATGGGTTAGATGAATGGATGAATTAGAAAGTAGGAAAAAAAGAGAGTTTTCTCACATAAATTTGTAGTAGATATAAGGTCATGACTCTTTAAAACATCACTCAATGTATGTTGATATATTTGAAATCCTATTTATTGGCCAGTCAATGTTCCAACTATTCCAGTTTGCAAGAAGTGATAAGCTCCTGGTTATAAACCTATCACAGCTAACTGGCTTCGGTAGCAACAGTAGGTGAATGTCATGGTAATAGACTCATTTTGTATTCTTGATACAGTTTTCATGAAAACAGTTTCTATTTTATTTAACATTTTCCAGACTATTACCATGAAAACTACTTTTCATTTATTAGTGCATTGTTAACAATACTTCCATGAAAAGTGCTTGTGAATTAAGTGCTCTGTTGAGAGTACTTTTACGACAAGTGCTTGTGACTTAAGCACATTGTTCAGGTTACTTTCATGACAAGTGTTTGTGACTTAAGTACATTGCTCAGACAAGAGTATGACAAGAGTAGCCGATTTAAGTACAATGTTCACAATACTCTGTGACACATACATGTGATTTATATGCATCATTTAGACTACCTTCATGACAAATATTTATGACTTTACAGTGCCATGTTCATAAAACTGTCCTGACAACTATTTATGTGCAATACTAAAAGTCTGTGACAACATTAACACAGCATAACCTGTACTCATTTTCAGTTTATGCAGGTGTAATCAATCTGTCATGTCACATGTCTGTATATATTCTACAGGCCATTTAAACAGTATGGCCTTTATGGCTACTTAAGTTGTCTCACTTACTGTATATGTTGATGTTATGCTAGGGTTTAGGCCACCCTGTTGTGAGACTTGGTCAAACATCGAGTCAGGTCAAAGGTCAGGGCAAGCTGTCCAGGGCACTTCTCCCATCAGCTGACCTAACACATTGCTCTTATTGTATATCCTTGTTTATAGTGGATTTGTTATAAGCTCTAATAACCAGGCTGCCTAACTGTGGTATCCCCTTATCTGTTCATCAGTGTATATCAGATCTTAGCTCACCTGGCAGAAAGTTTGGCTTGTAACCAATCTTTAATGATGTCAGCAATGTCTGTAAATATTTTTAGTTAAGAAACTGATGAACTAATGAAGCTGAAACTTTATGTTTTATATTAAAATGTGCACCGTCCATTTGTGTGTCCGTGCGTCCGTCCGTGCACATTCGTCTTTTCTGGAGCATAACTTCAAAACCCTTCACTATTTCTTCACCAAACGTGACATATAGGTAGATCTGCTGGTGTACTGGTGCCTTTTGGTAGTTTTGGATTTCTGTATAAAATTTTTTTTTTTGCGTTTCCATGGCAACAAGTTTGACTTTGACTGAAAATTGTGGTAGTGTTCTTTTCCAGAGCGGAACTGTAAAACCATTCAATATTTCTTCATCCAAACTTGACACATAGATTGGTCTGGTGGTATACTGGTGCCTTTTGGTAGTTTTGGAATTCTGAACAAATTTTTTGTGTGTTTCCATGGCAACAAGTTCGACTTTGACTGATTTTGGTGGTAGTACTCTTTCCAGAGGAAAACTTAAAACCTTTCAATACTCTCTTTCCACTTTGCCATATACACACCAAAACATTTGACATAATCATAACTAGTAGACATATTCATGAAGAGTATTTTTCCATTCCGGGGGATATTGATGACTTTGTCTTCTTGTTTACTTTGTTGTGGGATTCAATTCATTGTCAATATTGACAATATTGCAACATTTTGTCTTGTTTTAACTATGCTCTTATATTCTCAAAATGTGCATATGACCCACCCATTGTCTTCTGCCCTGCCCTACCCTGCCCTGCCCTGCCCTGCCCTGCCCTGCCCTGCCCTGCCCTGCCCTGCCCTCTGCCCCACCCCGCAATGTCTTGTATCTTCTGCCCTGAAATTGCCATACAGAGACTGACATGGGCGAATCTAGGAATTTCAAAAGGGGGGGTTCAGGGGGTTCGAAAAAAAATCTTCAATGTGGTCTTAAGTCCTTTTCAAAGGGGGTCGAACACCCCCCACCCCCTCTGTCTGGATCCGTTTAGTGAAGTGCCTGTCTCTGTCTTTTAAACTGGGGTCTGTATAACCAGGTGAGCTACAGGTTCTATTCATCTATGGAATTTCCCATTAGAAAAGTCCTCTTGTGTGTGCCTAAGGATTTACAACACTACTTTATTGGCTACAAGTAATACATTATTTATCTAATCAATATACTAATCCCCTCAATCACCTAAACAAACAACTGTACCATTTTTTCAAACAAGTTTGCAATCCAACTGAGCCACTATGTCTTTTGTCAGTCTGTTTATCTAAACCATTATTACTTGTACATTTAACAGGACTGAACAAAGAGGAATAAGGATTTTAAATTAGTGACTGAAAGGGCTAGTGGTTTCTTGGGTCGCCATCTTCTTTTGAGATAGATTGTTTCTAATTCCTGTCTAGAACCCTTAATTTGATTTCACTTTTGATGAAATATGTATAGTATTAAATGATCAGAGGTCAGAGATTGGACATACTGATAGGCAACAATGATTGGATGAGGGATATGACAACCAGCAACCCTGGTGTTCTTGTTGTCACTCTTCTCCTTGAGGGGCCGTGGGGTAGCCTAGTGGTTAAAGCATTTGCTCGTCATGCCGAAGGCGCGGGTTTGATTCCCCACATGGGTACAATGTGTGAAGCCCATTTCTGGTGTCCCCCAATGTGATGTTGCTGGAATATTGCTAAAAGCGGCGTAAAACCATGCTCACACACTCTCCTTGAACCCCACAAGTAATATAAGTAGTGGAATATAGTCACAAGTGGCCCTGTGGTTGAAGGTGTAGCAGAATGTTCTGCCGAGTAACTAGGGGTGGGTATTGAAGAGAATTTTCATGTTATGATATATTGTGATGTGAAAGCATGTATTGCAATATACTGCAAGAAGTTTTTTTTAACAAAAAACTACTTATAATTGAGTTAATGCTTGATTGATGAAGCAAAACACAATAAAATCACTATGCTTGATTAGGTTTTAATAAAAAAATAATAATCATGACAAAATAAAAATGTAAATAATGTTTGGCACAAATGAAACAAGGAAAGGAACAATTTAAAAAACAGAAATATCCGAATATTTCTGAGTGTTACGAAGTTTTCCGAATGCATGTGCGAATACCGGTTTTCCATCAGCGTATTGCAGTATGTATTGTTTCCATGTCTGAACTGGTAAATACCGGTAAACCGGTTATATTGTGCAGCACTACGAG